TTATTGATGGCGCAAGTCAATCAAAATCAAGGTACAAAAGGAGTGTGGTTTCTCGATTCCGGATGCTCAAACCACATGTCAGGAAACAAAGACTGGTTTGTACAGTTAGATGAAAGATATAGGTAATCTGTGAAGCTTGGGAATGATTCCAAACTAATGGTCATAGGAAAAGGAAATATTAGAGTGAAAATTGAAGGCCAAGTTCAAATAGTGACAGATGTGTTCTTTGTTCCAGAGCTACGTAATAACCTGCTTAGCATGGGCCAACTTCAAGAGAGAGGAATAACGATTTTGATCCAAGATGGGTTCTGCAAATTGTACCATCCAAGAAGAGGTTGTATCGTGGAGAGTAACATGTCAACAAACCGAATGTTTACGTTAACCACAAACATTCTTACAACGGAGCCTGCATGTTTCAGTACCAATGTAGAGGAGATTAGTGAACTTTGGCACCGAAGATTTTCACTTAAGCTACCAGAATTTGGCACTTCTTTGTAACAAGAGCATGGTTTATGGAATTCCAACACTCAAGGTCTCAACAAAAGTTTGTACAAGTTGCATGGTTGGCAAACAGCACCGAGCATCCATTCCAAAACAGAGTATTTGGAGAGCTACAAGGAAGTTACAGCTGGTACACTCAGATTTATGCTGGCCGATTTCTCCAGAGTCGCATGGTGGAAAGAGGTATGTACTTACGTTCATAGACGATTTTAGTCGTAAGTTGTGGGTTTATTTTCTGCATGAGAAAAAAGAGACCTTCGGTGCATTCAAAAGTTTCAAAGTTATGGTTGAAAAAAGAATCCGGTCTTCCAATATGTAGGTTGAGAACAGACAGGGGAGGGGAGTTTAACTCCAATGAATTCACAGTGTTCTGTAAAGAGCAAGGCATCAAGAGGCAGCTAACAATGGCCTATACACCCCAGCAGAATGGAGTGGCCGAGCATAAGAATCGCTCGATTCTAAATATTGTTCGTTGCCTTCTTGATGAAACGAAGATGCCAAAGAAGTTCTGGCCCGAGGCAACAAAGTGGACATATCATGCAATCAATAGAAGTCCTACGTCTGCTGTGAAAGATAAAACCCCGGAAGAATGTTGGACCGATGTGAATCCCAACGTTGAACATTTCAAGGTATTTGGCTACATTAGAAACGTCCATGTTCCAGCTCCCCAGAGACTTAAATTGGATGCGAGGAGCCAGAAGCTTGTGATGATCGGTTATAGTGATGAATCAAAGATGTATAGGATGATCAATCCTTTAAACATGAAGATTACGATTTGTCGTGACGTGGTCTTCGAGGAACACGAAAGCTGAGATTGGGTGAGGATAAAAGGCGGATCATCAAGTGATATTCTTGATTGGGGAGAAGTGTACGAAGGGGTTGTTGACGATGATGAGGAGGAGGATGACATCAACACTCCTCAAGAAGAAGAATATGACAGCCCTTCTTCTGATGACATCCCCGAAGTTGGTTGTAGTAATAATGCAACTCCTGCACCTCTTATAGGTAGCTCATCTTCTAGTGAAATCGCAACCACGTCAGTTCCTRATAAAAGAGAAAGAAGAGCTCCAAATTATCTTGACGATTACACCAGTGGTGAAGGACTCTCGGACGSTGAGATACTAAATCTTTTAATATATACTTCTGCTAATGATCCTTATTTTTATGAAGAAGCTGTCAAATCAGCAAACTGGAGAAAGGCCATGAATATGGAAAGAAGCAATACAGAAAAATGACACATAGCAGCTTGTTGAACCACCACACGAAGTCAAGGTAATAGGAGTAAGGTGGCTGTATCGAACAAAGCTAAACAAGAACGGGGAGGTGGATAAGTATAAAACTCGATTAGTGGTTAAAGGGTATGCACAAGAGAAGGGTATAGACTATAATGAAGTTTTTTACCCCTGTTGCTAGATGGGACACGATTCGAATGGTGATAGCTCTTGCTGCGAGAAACGGTTGGAAGCTTTACCAACTAGATGTCAAAAATGCTTTCGTGCACGGAGANGGACACGATTCGAATGGTGATAGCTCTTGCTGCGAGAAACGGTTGGAAGCTTTACCAACTAGATGTCAAAARTGCTTTCGTGCACGGAGAACTCAAGGWGGACGTGTATGTTGCCCAACCGCAAGGATATGTAGTCAAAGGTGAAGCAAACAAAGTCTACAAGCTTGAAGAAGGCGCTCTACGGCTTAAAACAGGCTCCACGAGCCTGGTTCAGTAGAATTGAAGAGTA